GTTTTCTACACTGTCTCAGAAATACTTTGCTCTTCACTTTTATGACAGTTTTGCAGCTTTACAAAAACACTAACATTTCAGCTATATTAAATAGTTTTACATCTGAAATGAAGGATGAAGCATGTCTGCCATGAAAACTGACTGGTATGATTACAATTAAACAGGAATTTCCCCCAGAATGCATTAATAGTAAACTTACGATGAGTAAATCTAAAACCTTCCTCAGCTATTCACACATATGCTGTGCCATACAGCGAAATCCTTTTTCTTCACAGTATTCAAACAAATCCTACTTTTCTTCACTACTAACTTTTACACAATCAAGGTAGCTGGTTGTATACCTATTTGCTATTCCAGAAAGCTCAACTGAGCATAATTGTAAAGCTGATAACTTTGTCTTTTCCCTTTCTCCATCCTTACCCTCCACCCCAAATCAAATTGATCATGAAACTTTTGATCACTATGGAAGCGTTAGGCTTCCTATCGCACTTCACGATACCTTTAGGTGTATTTACAGCTTAGTAAGATCTTAACAGCATAAAAACAAACAAGGAAGAAAAACTTATGTAGGCAAGGTTTAATTTAACTACACAGAGAAAAAGAGAAGTACTTAGCATTAACTTATTTTGTATTTGATATAATTCTGCCTTCTCTTTAATTTTATCTTTAACAACCTAGAACAATATCTCATAAAAATATTTTTGAATGTTAAATGCAGATCTTGCTTGTACAGATGAGTCACCGTCACATTACTCTTGTCTGATTCAATCATGTTATTAGTGTATTATTTAAAATGCTTTGCTGTTTGTTTGTTTTTTTGAGTAAAGCTACAATTAGTTGAAATCTGAAGAAGTTAAGCTCAGAAACCCTCCCCCATATCAACAGAACTCCCTGTTAAAATTCATTTCATATTGCACATAAGCCAAAACCAGAAACTTTTAAGCTTTCTTACAGAATACAAGTTATTTTGCACTTAGTTGTTCCTGATGTCGTGCACAGCAATTGATCTTTGCCATGGTTTTGAGTGTGGAAGACTAGAGTGAACTGCATGCCAAGAAACCGCTGTAAAATTAGAAACACAACCTTAATTCATCATCCCTGCTACAGCTTGATGCAAACAACTGTATTTAAAAGAGGCTAGATAATTTGCTTCCACTTCAAGTTGCCAGTATATATTTGATATCAAAACATGTTTTCACCTTAATCTTCTCTCCCCCAACATATTTCCTTAGATTCTTACTATGTATTTTTACATCTTGCTACAGATCATTTTGAAGAGTGAAGCCTGAAGAACTTCTACAAGGACAAACGAGGGCAAAGGTTCATCAGCTCTTCTGTTACCTCCACATATTTAAGACATTCTTGACAAGATCATATAATTAAAGCATGTTTGAACATAGTCTACATCAGCAATCAAGCAGGCAATTTCACAGAACTTACCAGTACTTGTTACAAACAATAGCTTATTACCAAACATCTCCAAAACTACGTGTGCTCTCCACATGGAGAGGGATGGATTCTTTCTTGTGGTTTTTCAATCACAGTAATTCAATATTTCACTCACTGCCCCACTCCAGTGGGCATCCAGCACTTCATTCTCATTTCATTTATCATCCATCAACTCTTCTGACTGCCCCTCTCACTTTCTTTTGTTCTCTTTAATTCCTCACCCTTTTCCCCAGCTTCCTTTCCAAAATGATCGGTGGCTTTTGCAACACAGTAACGCCACAACACCTCAGCTTTAAGTAGCAACCACTGAACTGGCACTCAAGTTACTGCTCAGGACTCCTCATTAGTTCTCAGAATCTTTAGGCAATTACTTTCAAATTCTCTCGTTTCATACTGCTGCTGACATCACCCTTGACTCATTTGATATTCACAATATTATCACAGTGATACAGTGAAGAATCTATCACAATGAATACTTGCACACATCCCCTCCAGTGACTTTAACCTAACCTCCTCTCCTTCAGATTACAAACACTGAGCAGCTGATTTATCCTTCCACCTGTGCCCCCCTTTATCAGCTCTCTACATTACAGAATGTGTTTAATTGATCATCTCCTGTAATACGTTGCTTGATGTTGCCCAGGTTTGTTTTAAATGCACTACTAACATTAGAGAGGAAATGGAAATTAGGTACTATCTTACTGTTTCATTCAACATGCATAAACATTCCCATCTGCCACTGAGCAAATCATTTCAATCTTTGACAAAACAAAAGCCCTCTGAAATCAAGAAGATTTCCAGCCAAAATGAAATAAGAGTTTTGTGGGTTTTTTGGGTTTTTTATTTATTTATTTATTTTTAAATATGAAACGGTTACTACTTCTCATACACAGCAGAACACTCATCATTATTCAAGCTTTAACTTGGAGTCATGCATGGTGGGAAAAAGTTGTAAATAATCATGGCATGCAGCCATACATACTATTTCCCAGTCTTTCTATTTTGCTGTTTTCTCTAATACCCCATGTAAATGCATCTATTTTGAAATTATCCAAGGCAGAATCAAAAAAAAAATCTCTAGTTATCTGTATCAAAGCCAAACTCCAGTGCAAATACTGTGACATATAGGCCATCCCTGGCTTCAGCTCTATCAGAGAAGCTTGTATACACCCCAATGAAGTGGGTATTTTCTGGCAGACCAGGAAGGCATCTGTCACAGCCCTTCTGATGGTCACAGAGGGGAGGTTATCACTGGCACTATCGCAGTAGCCTGACATTTCAAGCCAATGTTTGAGCTGTCATGAAGGATCAGATGACATGTTTTTATTTAAGCACGAATGATTTTGAAATAGAAATGGGAATTTCAGCAAGTTGCAGGTTGAACAAATTGATTCTGTACGATCTATTTTTCACACCTGCTCCAGAGAGGAAGTTTAAGAAATTCACACTACATAGAGAGTCAAAGAAATTGATGGTTTCTTACTAGCACTATATCACTGCCAGAAGCTCGGGCTAACCCATCACTTTTTAACTAGAAATGGGCCTGAGACATGATGTTCTGATCTCAGTCTGAACTCCACAAAGTTCATGTTGGTTATGTTAGGATTAGGCATTTGGCTTAGGATCTTTCCCACTTTTAACAATGAAGAAAAATCTTTTAAAGCACCAGTGGACTCTCCTCTATCAAGTTTAATAGAAATCAATAAATCAGCTTGATCCGATCTCATTTCAACATTGTAAGAAGTGTAAATAGGTGTCTTTTAGCACTGCAGTTATAATAAACCCTTCTAAGTCTCTCTGGGAGTAGTTCTCTAGTAAGGATGTGAATTCCAATATGAGCAGAATTAAAGGACATCCCTGGATGTATTTGCTTGGTAATTAATGGCTGAAGAACAAGCTTGAGACTGGCAAAGATTTGTAAAACATCAGAGCCCTCTACTGGATTAGAACTACATTACTGAGCATTTCTTTAATGCAGCAGTGAAAACAATACGTTTTATCTAAAAGTTGAAAAACACAAGAGGTACCAGGAGAACTAGATTGCATGAAAGCTTGAAGACAGAAGCTATTTTTTCTGATTTCCAAAAAGGCAGAAGTCATTTAGAGAAACAGACATTTGTTCAAATGGAGGATCTAACAAGAAACCTCTTAGGATCATTTGACATGTTTGGTTTTAAATAAACAGGCTTAGGAGAGGTGCTAGTTTTGCACCATTGTTCATAAATTTCATTCAAGGAGAAGGAAATGACAAGCTGACAGCATGTATAAACTTCATGCTGTTCCAGGTCTTCGTTTTGGTTTCCCATCTGCTGCACTGAATTTCCTGACCTGTGCAGAGCATCCATGTAGTAGAAGGGAATAAGCATCTAGTCAAAAGGCTGTTTAAAGGGGTGCTTTCATGATTAGCTAAAACAAATGTGAAGTCGTAGATACTTAAAGGGCACAGCTGATACAGTTTACCAAACAGCCCCCTCAAGCAATAGATTCAACATACACATGCAAACACACAAAATAATAATTGAAAACACATGTGTAAGAAAATTTTTAGGGGAGGGGATACAAAAATACAGTGTTAAACTATCTTAGGTTAATCATAATTTTCAACTTGAAAGTGAATGGCTCTGGAACACTTTCTCCATATAGAAGAGGACACAGTAGGTGAGGAAGTGAACAACAAAAGGACTAGTTACCATGAGAGCAATCATATTTTAAATAAGAATTTGCAAGTACACAAATCTGAAAGAGCAAGGCATAGCAATAGCTCTTTCCCCAGATCCTCACCCTGGCTCTCATGGGTTGCCAATTTCCTTACACAGAAATAGTACCTTTCATTTACTGTCCTGTAATAGATATTCTTCCAACAGCTTGCACAGCCATCCATTGAGCTCCCATTTATACCCTTTATCTACAGCATCCTAGGGAATTCCACAGTTAACTACATTACATCATAATATACTCACAACTAAACCAAATAAAAAAGAAAACAAAAAAACCCCCAGCCAAACGACAACAAAAATACACAACCCTGGATTTGGGAACTGGAGTGCAAGCTACTTTGTGCTGTTTTTTTTTTTAATTCTGGATTTGTTTAATATATTACAGTGCACAACAAGTCAATTCAGGTTCTTAAAAACACAAGGAACATTAACGTCGAACATTTAGATGAAGTGTCACTTTAAATATGTTATGTATATAAGTACATTGTGGTATTTTCTAGAGCACTGTACTACAGGAGGACAGGGAAAGCAGTGCACAAAATAAGCTGATTTAGTAGTACTTATCATACACACTTTTAAGAGTGAATTAATCCTACCCCCGCCACTAACCTGTTGTGACACTCAAGGCTTTTCATTTCACCTCACTACATATTTGTTTTTTTTACTGTACAACAGGTATAATGATACATTTCTTGCTTTTTGAAGTCTTTTCAGAATTGCAACAATAAAGTGCTACATAAAAAAAAGGATGTGCATTTATATTCACAAAGAACCATCATTTTCTAACACCATCTTTTTTAGCATTCATTCACAAAAATCACATGAAAAATTTACCTGCTCATTTTTGCAGATCCACACAGTATTCCCTTGAAGAAGAATAAAGATTTTGGCTTTGTATCCTTTCAGTTCAAGATATCCACTTTTCTCAGGAGCAACAGAAATTCGAGACTGAGGGTTATTATCAGATTGAGATTTCACGGCATTGAGTATTTTATCAACCCAGTCATTCCTTTCTTCTAAACAAGGAAGAAAATTAGAGGTTATATGTTAAGCAGCAGCTCCACTTTCTACCATATTTCTTTTCTTTTTCTTCCTACTATGCCTTGCTGGTTGATGGTATAACTACAGCATAAGAAATAACATCTACCTTGAAAAAGAGGTAGAAATGAAAAAAAAAAAAACAACAAAAAACAAATATAGAAGAGGAGAGGCTAGCAAGGATATCCACTCAGGTACCTTCCACAAAAAATAAATTAAAAAAAAAGTAATTGAAAGTTATGAAAATATTACAGTTTTCAAAAATCATGACTACTAATTCTAAGATACTTAATTTCAGAGAGCTTAACAACTGAGGTGGCGTACAGGTAACATGTTCTTCATTTATTATTCATTGGGCAATAAGAAAAGGACTATGGGAAGTAATGCAAGCAAATAGTACGGAGCCTAAATATCATCCATCACTGAAGAGAGAAGCCAACCCAAACGCTACTCTGTTGGACCATGCTTTTATGAAACATTTGGCAATTCACAGACTACTCCATTAAGGCGCAGTGGTGAAACTTGATATTGTCAGGGGCACGGAGTAATCAAGAAAATGTATGTTTGAATATGTTTTGCATGCGGTATTAGTTTAGCTTCACATTTGTAAGATCACAAGTAGGTGAAGTACTGAAGTTCCACTCAGCCTCACACACTGTTCAGACATTTCCCCAGTCTAAGATCAATATACATTAAAACTGAATATATTGAATCAATTAGACGTGCCCTACATGATGGAAACATCATGAATACTTCAGTTCTTTGCTCTAAGAGATTCGAGTCATAAAACATACAGGATGTAATATATATCTGTACATGTAATTCATGGCACACCTAAAGTTGACATGATCAGTGCCCAGCATTGTAGAGAGGACCATCAAAACAATAATGTACTCACTTCATAAATGTAATGTGAGCAACAAGAAGCAACAAATGAATTTAAGCATCAGAAGAGTTTGAAGAAGAGAAAGACAGCACCTGACAGACTAGCACAGAGAAGGCAATTCTAGAGCTCCTCTTAGCAAGTACAGGTTTTGTTTTAAGATAACTGTTCTATTCTAAAGTCTCTGAAAGTAATTTTAAAAGGTCATTGGATTATTTTGGTATAGATGTTTACAAAATTAATCTGAAAGGTTTGTTTTTCTTTTTAAATAATGTTTCATTTGAATTAAAATCTCACAGAATTTGAGCAGATATGTTCTAATTTAGCACTACCATCTATTTCATTTTTTCCCCCCAAATGCCCTAAACTATCCAAAATGTTACACAATTTCCCCCTTGCTACTCAAAAAAATATTGTATTTCCAGTTTGCAAAACAAATAATCAGAGAACCAAAAGACAAGAAAGCAAATGCAATATTCTACAGATTATGGACTGACTTTGGTATCAAGGGACACAAGTCAACAAAGGCAATGGCAATATTCTGGATTTTGATACTTCAGCAGAAATTAAAGAAAGTTGATATAGGAGGTCCACAGGATGAAAATATGTATAGGACCCCATTTCAAAATCTTTTTAAAAAGTGTTCTTGGAATAGTCCCAGAACAATTTCCAATCACAAATTCACAGAATAGCACAAAGTGACAATTTGTGCGCATACCAGTAAGCAAGCAAGGTTATTTACATAATTTACTATGAGTACATCACCCACCACTGGATATAGTACGGATCAAATTACTTGTACAATATCAACTTATATCCTTAATGTGACAGTAACAGCTTTATGAACACATCACCAGGTCCAAAGAGAGTTGCATACTAAATGAAAATACAATTTCATGAATAAAAAGTGGCTGCTCTAAATTTACTTTTTGAGTCAATATAAGTTGTTAATGTTTTATGGTATTTAAAGATAACAACTCATAAAGCAAATTATGGCCCTACAAAAAAAATAATGTGCTAAGACAGTTATGTTCTAATTTATAAAAACGACCAAATTTGTTTTGGAAGAGAAAGGCAAAAGTAATAAAAATAGACCTACTTCTTAGCTAAGAGCATAAAAATGTCTGAACTGATTTGAGACAGACCTGATAAGAATTTGTTCACCAATGCTGCACTCCTGTTGCAGCCTGCAGCAAATGTATACAACCAAACTGTAACCCACAAAAACGAGATTTGATAAAGGAAATGCTGAGAGACCCCTAGCTATAATGGGTCTGGCACACAGTGCTGTAAATACATACTGCATGTCTCATTTCCTAGGTATTCCAGTTTCTTTGATTGTTTCCATAAATAAGTCATACATGCACTGACATTAATTTTTTATATTACAGCATTAGGCTAATAAAGCATTAGACTAGAAGGTGCACTAACTTCCTCTTTTTGTTTGTATTCTCTACCAACGATGAAATGGATGAAAATACTGTATAAGGCAGTAGATAAAAACAAACAAAAAATAATCACATTGTCTCTTATCACATCATCACATCCAAGCCATCAACTTCATTGTTGCTCTTCATCAATTTTATATCAAGTAGTGACCGAGAGCAGATGGCTGATAGTGCACAGACTGTAAAAGCTGCTAGTGATATCTAATGAATGTCCAGAAAAATTCATCTTCGGAAATAATGGGAGAGGAGGCAGAAGAGCTGGAAAAGTGTTATTATTTTTGATGCTTTACAAAGTATTTTATTTCTTACTACAAAGGTTATAGTTATCAATTTTCTTCTTCATGAATCCAAATAGATGGATATGAGAAATACCTTTTGCAATACAACAAATTATACTTCATAATTTAATTATGATTTAATTATGATTTAATTTATCAGCAATGACTACATGGCTTTCAAAAAATCATCAGAATTACATACATGTATTGTACATACCTTCTTTATCCACTCGGAAGACAAAAGTCCTATGGGATGTAACAACTTCAAATTTATTCTCTCCATGAACTCTAACTGTTGCTATAGCAGAAAGTAGTATGATTCCCTTTGAGAACACTTCCTATAATAAAAACACAAAAGAAGCAGTTAATAGTTGTTAATAAATGTCTCCCAGGTAGTATTATGCACAGTGATGTTCAGGATGCTCACATTCTAAACTGTGCTGTGCTCCTACAAGTTCAGCATTTATTATTAATAAAACTGCATCAATTAAGTAAACCATTTCACAATCGTCACACAGCCCACTTCATTACATGTCCATGCTCATATTCTGTCTTGTAAAATAGAAGAAAATCCCATAATGAAGTATAATGCATATATGAAACATCACTACAGAAGACATCTCATGACACTGCTATGACAAAACGTCTTAGTCTTAAATTCACAATTTTATTCCAAATAATTGAGTATATCATCCATACACACACAATTGTAAAATAGAATCAAGCAAGAAAAAAAACTTATGCCTTCTCTAGGTAGAGTATTCCAGAGAATTTCTGAATTTCCTTCTCCCCTTCATTGTTAGCCAGCTAAAAAAGACCACCATGGATTGTATCCATTAGCATTCAATATTCAGTTGAAGGGGGGAGGTGGGAGGGGAGAGAAGAGTGATGGCAATTCTGCAAAAATCCATTGTCTTGTCATTAGTAATGATAACCTTGTAGCAGGTATGTGCTATTCTCTCAGATCAGATGAAAGTGGAATGGTCCCTCAAAAATATCATTTGACATCACAGTGAGTTTTCCCAGAACTTCCTAATTTCCAGCTAGGAAGCAGGACAACAGAATTTAAGCAACAATAAGACAGGAAAAAAAAAAAGAAATACTACTACTTTCTCCAAGTAGATCACCTAATAAGCTGAAGCAGATACAAAACACTTCACAAGTACATCTGAACAATTCCAGGATTACAGAGTTAGCGCTGCTTCTCCTGTCACCAACATGCTTTGATCAATTGGTTTTCTAAGATAATTCAGATACACTGCTAAGATTTATGATTCAGATGCAGTAATATTCCAAGAGGTAGCTTCCCCGTAAAGAATTCGTACTGCAATAAATTTCCTCCTGAAGTATAAATTATTATAACAGACTTTATACAAGGACTTAAGGAATCAGTGTGAATGTTAAGCATGGAGGATGCTTTTTTTGTTTACTGAGTTAAATATACCACCACTTCTCACCAAATTCATAGTCTTGTGTTGTTTCACTTCTGAACACTAATATATTTCAACGAATGCTGTTTCAAAAACTGTGATTTATTAAGAGATATCGAGACAGAGGAGATGTCACTTTAGTTACACCCAAGAACTACTCTGTAATTCAGAATCTACTCAGTACTGCACATGCATTTTTATCATGACTATATTTATTTGAAGGCAGACTTAAACACAGCAATTTCATATCTGTTAAAAAAGATGCAGGTACTGTGTCAACTACTGATCCTTCACAACGAAAAAGCAACCTTACTATATGGTATTTCTAAAACTGTTCAGATACAATTATATTATGGAGTTTGCAGGCATCTACTGGTTGTATTTGGTACTGTAAGAAAATAATTAAGACAACTTTAAGTTACAGCTGCTTTATTCTACTTCATTCTGTCTCTTTTTAAGCTTAATATGGTTTGGGTTTTGTTATTTAAACATCCTTCAGGCATATATATTTTGAAATACAGTTTAAACTATGAGAATTTCTCAGTTTTATTTCTACACCAGGTTTGCTTTCGCATGCAAGAACCAACACCTAATGCTAAAAGCTCCAACAGATAAAGACAGTACTCCAGACAAGAAACTAGGTGATTTAAGGGAACAGAAAACAACAAAACAAAACAACAACAACAACAAAAAAAATCCACCCACATCCTTCCACAACAGAAAAAACATGACCTATTCCAAGAACAAAAGTGATTGCCCTACTTTGCAGTGAATTCTTCATTATATTCACATGTACCATAACCTACCAAAACAAAGTTGTTCATATAAAAAGTAAAGACTTTTTCCTAAGTCACTACTATATTTGCAAGGAATCCCAAAAAGTTTTTACGTTAAAATTTTCAATACAGCCAGCAGTTTTGCCTTATCAAATACATTAGAGCAGCAAACTTCTCCTGCCAAAAGGAGGCAGAAATGTGAAAGAAATGCTATGCAAATTGAGTAACTAAAAAGAATTCTGAAGTGATGTCTTTTTTTCTTCAGTTTGCTCTCACTTTAATTAACCACATTCTGTTATGACAGAAACCACAGCAGATATTGCTCCCACCACATCAACTTGCTTAGGACAATGAAAATAGAAGAAATGAGCACCATCACCAATTCAAACCAAAACAGGTCAGGACAGATGCCCTTTCAAAAAAAAAAAGACCTATACTGATCTAAGTTGACACGCAACTAAAACAAGTTTAGAAAAAAGTTAGAAAATTCAAATTATTCAGAGAAGAATTTATGCGAGCTAAGGACACATTTTCAGCGTATAACAAGTCCTGGCTAGTGACCTCCATATAACTAGTAGTGACCCTCCAATTTAAATAAATCTCAACTTTAGATACAAGACTGAAAATTCTTTAAAATTAACATTTCTTTCTGTAATTGTGCGATAGAAGATATTAAGCAAATTCAATGCTATTTAAGCCATTCTTAATCACTAACCTTGCTTTTCTGCGCCTTTAAAGCTCTGGCATGAATACCACAGAGAGGATAACATATTTTGTCCCTCCAATCAAAATATTCTTTTCATATACATAATCATGTCTACTAAGTGAAGACAAATAAGCAAGCAAAAACAGGCTGTCTCATGTTCCTCATCAGCAGGCATAATGAAGCATAATGTAAATACTTCTTGCTCTTGTTCTCTGGCCCCTCAGGATATACTCAACCTTTCTCTACTTCAGTTCTCCCTCTTCATAATCTGCTGAAACAGTTCAACGTGTGCACATTATAAAAAAATATGGAATTCTTATTATCAACACCTATCATAACAAAACCCAAATTACAACACAAAGCTGAATTTTCTTCCTAATTTAATATGCATCTTCAACAGGAAAAGCTACCCAGTGTTTTAAACAGTGCATGTGCATACAGCCTCATTTCCAACAAAAAATTTCTATATTATGCAATCATCTAACATTTTTGAGCTTAACAAGATCTGCATATCTTCCAAAAGAAATTAATTAATTACAGAACAACAGAAAAATAATTTTAAAGTCAGCTTACTTATATAAAATAGATAAGAAAAAAAGATAAAAGGAAAGCAAGGTTTAAAAACAGGTCTAAAAAAATATATATTTTTTTTTTTTTTTAAATGATGACTTACAAATCTATTTTTATGTCACTGTAGCAATTGGACAGATCAATACAATGGGAAAGACATTACAACAAAGTGTGATGACAGAAGGACTTGCAAAATAGAAAGGTGCTATAAAGGAAGGGAAGAAGATTGCTCACCCATATCAGAAGAGTTTATGTTCAGAGAGGAAAGCTCCACCAAGGAGGGATCTCCAGAAAGTGATCCTTCCCTAGTGGCAGTGAGCCCTTAAATGAGGTCTAAGAAAGGTGCAGCCAGGCTCCACACCTTCCAGTCACTCAGGTGAATTGCCGTCACCTATGTTCCCAAGACTGACCAGGTCCTTTCTCCAGTCAGTGCTCAATCAGTGGTTCAGGCCATGACTCAAAACTTCCATACAGTCATCTGTCAAAAGTGAACTACTTGAATCAAAGCAATGCATGAGCCTGCAAATGTTTCAGGACAATTCAATCCTTAGGTGCGGAAAAACTAAAACATCCACTGGAATCACAGTATTATGCTCATTTTGAAGAGACCCATTCTAATGGGAACTAGTCCTGCTGTTTGTGATTATTCCTAAAAGTCACACAGGAGAGACATTTGTAATAAGAAAATAGATAGGAATCATGGGGTATTTTTTGTTTTTACAAGGCTTCCACTCCAAATTTTCTCTCTCTCTCTCTCTATATATATATGTATACATATATATATATATATATATATATGTCTCATGCTGGCTTTCTGTGACAAGACAGTTTGTAGCCATCACCAAAGCAACATTTGATCTCTTCAATGAGTTTTTCATTATTCTGTTGTTCTGTAATAATGCTTTGTTCTAATATTCTGCAATTAATAATACATTTAACATAAATGTTCATTTAGAGTTATTTCTAAATGTTTTCTATTATACACATGCATTCTGACCCAAACATGCCACTTACCTTTTCATTATTGTAATAAGAAATGCTGTCTCCATCAAATTTAACCCAGCGCTTCTGAAACATACGTTTGCTGTGAATCAAAAATGAATACAATTAAAATGACATGTTATACTGGCTTTTAAGAATGTCTCAAAAGGTCAAATCAGATTTTGCTTCCTGTGTTTGGGCCTGAACTTTCTGGAAATTAAAATTAGCCTCTTTGAAGATTAGAACACTGATTTTCAATATAATAAAAATATCTGGAGATAAGAAGTACAGAATTAATGGAGTTCAGTTATAAATCAGTGCCTTCATGTTTTCATCAATCAAGTTTCCCCTCTCTTTTCCGCATTCTCATGTTCCTTTACCATATTTGCAGTGACAAAGGAAAAAAGAGCTTTCAATAATGTAATTTTGCTTTGACCTAACAGATAAAGGATGAGAACAGGCTATTTTTATTGGAGACAAAGGAATATTCTTTATATAGAGCATACCTTAAAATGTTACAAGATCTGTAACATCACTTCCAAAAAAGGAAAGGTGAGAACCTAAAACGACCATCTCATTTACAGGTTCATAAGACAGACATCTCTGTTTACACCCTATGATACCTTCATTCATTAACCTTTCCCCAACACTCTTTTCCCTGATCAATGAATAAATAACAGTCACACCAAATCATTCAACAAGCACAACAGAGAAATTTCTTTTCAATTTCTGTTATCAACTAGAGATAACTGACAAGAAGCTCATTGGATTATGTCAGCTTCCTGTTAATTCATGCTGTATGAGAACCTCCTTTGAAAGTTGTGCAACATAAAGTCCAGTATGTATAAAGTCCAGAAGCAGTCCAGTATGTTCTTTAAAAATGTTGACTATAGCTTATCATCGATGAAAGTTTCAATTCTAAAATCCATTAAGCAATTTATTAAGAAGGAACAAGAGCCCACTCTTTTCCCAGTATTATTTCTTCTCCTATTAAAGGATGTGATTAGAAGACTACGGTAGCTTACCAAAACTTTCATCATATACCAGCTCTGGCTTAATTAATTTACATAATGTAAGTACAATAAATCATTTTTCATAACCTGGAAAGGCCAACAGAAAACCTCTTCTCTACTGAAATGTCAGTAAACTTTGAGTTGATACAGGTTGATACAGAGAAGGATATGCAAACCTAAGTGCCCAATATCATGTAAATGAACTGAATGGCTTTACAATTATAGTGACTTCATGAAAACTAGAAGCTGTACTTTAAACACTCAATTTGCAATAATTTGAGAAAATTGCGCATCTTCGTTTTCATGAGGGGACAAAATGCCAGGTGTAAATAGAAGCATTATAAAAAGTAAGAGGGAGCAGGTAGGGGAGGAGAAATAAAGCAAAGAAACATCGTTGGTAGGGATTGGAATAAAATATGGCAAGGCTTAAAGGGAAGAAGAAATGACTGCTAGTTCCCCCTCCCCTTGGTTGCTTTCTTCAGGTATTTGAGAAATGGTGCTGCATGAAATTTAAGAAAAAGAGGAAAAAAAAAAAAAAAAAAGAAAAAGAAAAAAAAAAAAATCTGCATTCATTACATGATGTCTGAGAACAAGTCCTTGAAATTTATCCAAAAAGCATCTCTAGCTTGAAGCTAATGACCCTGAAACTGTACTACACAATGCTACCTAGTATTAATTTTGTGGTTAACTCAGTATCTTTTTCAAAATAATGTAGCCTCACACAGTACTTTGGCTAAAGCTTTCATATTCTGTTCCAAACCCTATTCCTTCAAATTGCACCAGCAACTGGAGTCCATAACTGTATTTATATCCCTCTAATAACTATTGCCAAAATTGAGGTGTGGAAAAGCATGTGAAATTAAACAAAAATTAGAGCTAACTGCAAAACTTCTGAGAATATATTATCAAATCTGAAAAAAAAATAAAATAAAATAAAAAATTGTCTTGTAATGGGGAAAAGTCTTTTGAATCTATGTGCAATTATTCTTTGATTCTTTATTAAAATACTTAAGCACAATCCTTAAAAGTTAATGAAAATTCCAAAATTTTATAGAAAGCAACACAATAACAAAACAGCAACAAACAAAGAAAAACAACAAGGTCTGAGCAGGCTGGAATTCCACTATGGCAAAATAGGTTTATCAAGCCATATGCATTCCTTTTTGTCATTAAGATTCAACAATATATCGCAAACAGACAATAAATAAATAAATAAATAAATAAATAAATGATCAACCAGAAATTCCTTTGATAGAACTTCCTTCAGTGGACACAAACCAAAATGTATTCTCAAGCAATATAATTCAATACCTTTTGTCAATAAACAGGAAAAAAAATATTATAATTGCTGTAACAGCTTACAGTTATTGTCACCAAAAATAATGAAAGAAAAGCCCAAAATGAAATCACCTTTCCCATGCAGCTAAACCTTTAGTCTTAAGAAGAAAGAAAGTAGAACTGGTAAGGTTTGAGGACGAGTACAGATAAAAGAAATGCATCATAGCACTAAAGGACAACAAACTAGATTTCTAGCTGCTAGTGAAAATCAGAAGCAGAAATAAAATTACGCCAATCTTAAAAATGCAAAGAGGAGACAGAAAATCAGAATAATTACAGAAGCAGAAACTACTGAAGATTCTTTGGTCTATTCAATTAAGCACGAGGTTAAAAGAATGTCATCAGCGTTTACAAGTATTTATGAAAGGAATATACCAGGGCTCTTCAGCGTAAAAGAATCAAAGACTGGAATTTAAAGGTTAAATTAAATTTTGAACAATAAGAGCAATTAAATATGAGATTACATTAGCCTATTGTATTCTATATCCATCACTACTTAAAATTTCAGAGGAATGCTTGCATTCATATTCCTCCCACCAAAATTTAGGCACATCAGTAAACTAAATTAGTCTGTATGCATCACTGTAGATTTCTAACCTCAAATATCAACTTCTCTTCCTATGAGAATACATAACTCTAAAATCAATAAGATCTCCAGTCAACAAAATAATGGATAAATTGGTAAAACAGTATTTCAGAATCAGAATTTGTTTTCACTTACTTTGTGGTCAACAGAGAATTATCAAAAATTTGTAGATTGAAAATATTACCACAAATTCTGTATTTTCATGAGTAGACATCAAAATTTTTAATATTTATTTCCTGAACATACTTCCAAAATAAATTTTAGAAGTAATACATCATTAAAAATTGAGAATTAAAAAGTAAATACCTATGATCTTGCAATAAAAATAGTTCCCTTCTTCTTTCCACAACAAATAATAGGCAGTAACTTAAAGAGTCTCATGGAAACCCCTTTGCAATTATACAGTAATCATTGCAAATATCATACCCTTGAGGAGATAATTTATCCAGCCATCCTGCTTTAACCTTCTTTACTGATGATCCATAAAAGCAAGCATATGGTGCTATTGATTCATTTGCAATTAAAGTTTGAGCTCCATCAAATTGTTGAGAATCCATTTGTTCACTGACCGGACAATATGATTCTCCACATTGGTTCTTACAGGATGATGAGTGGGTATTGGTTTTATTTTCATTTTTATTGGAAGAAAAGGAACATTGATCCACAATAGAATATACAGGTTCGCTTTCCAAGTCTTCTGGAGGTAATGATTTGTTTTCCTGAGACAAAGATTCATTTTTCACACATTCCTTTGTCTTCTCATCTTGATTATTAAGGGAACTGCAAAGTAAAAATAACTTTATTCTTCACTTATTTCTACAATAAACAATAAAGCATTACATAGAACAAATGTTAAGACATTCTGTAAATAAAATTTCACCTTTGTGATAACCACAGATTGATGTTAAATGTAATATATATCCTTTAACTACAACCATAACAGAATACTTCTTTGTCAACAGGTTCCTTTGGAAGGTAGAATTATACAGAATTTTAAAATGAATTCTCCTTCCTCAGAAGACTAGCTTTATTCATTCTGAAATTTTTGAGGACTTGCAATATCATCTCTTTCTTCTGTCTCTCTCACTTTGATAGAAGCCAATTGCAGACAGTCTGAAAGGACATGTGAGCTCCCATTTAGTAAAAACCATCAGCCCTTGCCTTATGAGAGTACTCAAGAATGTTTTGGGAATTTTTTAAATAGACAGAGCATGTAAGTACTCAGACATTGTTATCTAGAAGACAAGGAAGCCAAATTTTATATTCCAGATGTTCTGACTGAGGGATAAGTAATAAGACATCTCCCAAATTCACAAAAGATTCTGAAGTTTAGATTAGACAGTCTTAGGATAGTCACCTATGGCATGAGGTGAAAGCTAAAATAGCAGAAAAGTTAAGTAAATAGATAACAAAATACATACAGTCTCTTGGTTTGTCAGAGTTAGAGCTCTACTTATTACATCAGTAAATAACTCTAAATTTAAAACTCTTTAATTTTTTTGATAACTCCTATTTAATACCATATATTCCTGTTAGAAGAATATTCTTCAGACATTTCCAAATCTGATTTATTTTCACAAGCCAGGAATTCATTCCTATGATGTTCCTAGAAAAGAAATAAGCCATAACAAACGTGTGTAGTGAAACAGTAAATAATGTTTAAATTATTCTAGACATAAATCACACCAGCAGACCAAGTGGCAAAGTTATCCTTTTCCAAATTTTCATGTAACACGGATCTGAAAAAACACATTCCAAAAGTATTTTATTTTCAATATCTCCATTTTAATTCAGATAAATATATTTGAGCGTAGTCCAAAATACTAAAAAAACAAAAAAGTTAAAGAACCTCAGTGCATAGAAATATTTGTACCTTAGTTGTTCCTGAATAACAGCTGAGTATTTTCTAAGCTCAAGAGCCACATGTCAAGTGCATGATAAGTATACCATTTATGATTTGCTACTCATAGTCTATCTTTCATGTTAATACTTCTCTAAATTGAATATACAGTGTTTACAGTAGATCAAAGACAAAATACAGGCAAATTTACATTCCTACGTTAAAGCTGAACTCAGTCATATTGAACATATCTAGCATCTTCTTGCCATCCTTCTTTCTAAAAGATATGTTTATTCATGTTTGTTTAGAAATCTTTACGACACATTATTTGTACTGTACAAAATATCAAGGTTAACATTGCTTAAGAACATTACACATCACACTTCCTACTTCACACTTCCTAAACTTGATCTGACAATCATACTGTATTACTAATCTTCTCAACATCTTTCTTCCTTTAAAAAGAAAAAAAAAAAAAAAAAAAAAAAAAGAAACTTAAAATGAATTGCTTCGTGCTTCATGATAGAAACGTTTTAATTTACTCATTTAAGCTTTGAAGTGTGTGTCATAAAGCTGAAGAGCACAGAAAAAAATTGGGTAAGCTTTCACAACTGTTGCTGTTTGTTTTCTGAGAAACAGCATCTCATCCTATGTTTGATGATTTCACCTATGCAACATGAAATGATAAGATTATAAAAACTGAGTATGTGTATGTGCACTACAGCAAAAACTGAGGCAATCACTGGCTGCTGATAGGACAACCTTTGGTGAACATTTTGCCTTCCTCTGCCAGTCATATACATTATGAACAAGAAACCCCACCACCACATACCCCACACTGCTAACTGCATTGTAGAACCACAGATTAGACAATAAATAAATAAATAACCCCCCACATTCCTACATCATGTTAACAACTGAAACAGAAAACTCAAAAGCACCTTATGTACTGCCCATGAAGTGCTTAAAATTTGTCTCATAAAACAAGGGGAAGTGGCAGCATCCCACTTTTACAAATAACCAAGAGACAAGTACTTCAGTACTTGGCCAAGTGAACTGAGGGGGGCCTGAGAACTTACAAGAGATATCGACAAATACATTTATATTTCTAGAAGAGTTTAAAATATAGAAATCCAGAAATGAAGAAAGGTTGGGGGGACAGACAGTACTGTTCAAACACAAAAAACACTCACAAAAAACAAATTAAAGAAGAAAACCCATGTGTTGGTTACAGGATTATTCTGCAAGATGCTCAAACTCAAAATGAGATAGAACTGTTATCTCCCACCTCCTATAACTCCAAGGTATTACGAAAAGGTAGGGAGTCTTTTCTCCTGCAGTTGCCCCTGTAGAAACAAGTATTTCTTAAAAGATTGCATAGGAAGCACCCACGCTTAAGGAAGATACCAGGCTTCTAGGTGGCAGGCAGATGGAACTGCCTGCTGGCAGCTCTGTATAAACCTTTTTTGATCAGGAAGTAATTCAGATGCATTATTGTTTAAAAGGTTTTTCTGTCAGCCAATTTTGCTAGTCAAAATGGAAAGCGAGGAAACCTAAATACTAAGATGAGTATTGGGACTACTGTCACATTATATGCTACATGTCACTCATTATTTACTTGAGTGGTTTATTCTCGATTTTACTTGAGACCTGCTCCTTAGTCTTCGACTGAAGGCAATACAGTTTTATAACAGAGCCTTAATGATAAGAATTCCTCCTTTTCAAATATGAAGTCTTCCTTGTTTTAAAGTTCTAAGACTTGTAATCTAGCCAGCATTCCACAGTGTCACAATGCTTAAGAGCTCACATGGATTATTTATCTCAATATGCGTGCTTAACCTAGTCTAAGAATTTACAGCAGGAAATGAAACCAAACTTAAGAACTTAGAATTCCTTCACTGAAAAAGTGATTTCTGATATACTTCACTCTTTACTCGAACAGAATAGTATGTCAGCTGTAAAGTGTTAGGATTTTTGTGCTTTTCTTTAATTAATATTAAAGAAAAATGTTCCTTCTCCAGGTTGCCCTTTAGGGGTTTCTGCTTCTAGCTGCCTTTCTTCCTCACTTAAGTCTAACTGAACTTTCTTTCTCTCCTTAATTCACTGTTCTCTCATGCTCACTTATCTCTAGTCTGCTGTGACTCACTGCTTGTTTCTACAGACACTCCCCTTATAAAGTCTATAGAAGCCTTTCTTTAGTTACACCAATAAAAGGAGAAGAAAGTTAATGGTCAACTTCTAACCACTTAGAACAGGCTTCCTTTGGTCATTATAACAATTTGCTGTCTTCTTAAATACAGATGAACTATATTCTCATGCAAAGTTGTTTTTTTTAAAAAAATGAAGCAACAATTACTAAAATCTCAGATACTATGCAGGGTTGGCTAAACTTTGTTCCTAGGATATGTGATACTTACTGGAAAAATAGCTGCAAATTAAACATATCTTTGGACTTTTGCTTTACAACTTTGCTGTATGACCTTAGTCTGCAATTATGTTCTAATGGAAGCAAAATCAACTATGAAGTTTCCAACTAGCATGTGGTAAGTATAACTCAAAAAAAACCTGTTCACTTACGTGAAAATGATAATTAAAATCCAAATCTTCAGATCAGAGAAAGTATATTGTAATACACTGCATTAATTGAGATTCTACAACCAGCAGAAATAGCAATTCTATTTTGAGCTGTTAATCTAGATAAACAGCACAGGGTTTTTTTTTTTTTTTTTTGTCTTTTTTTGTTGCTGATTCCTTTTAATATTTGCTGCCTTTGGAAGAAAAATTGCAGACAATCTTCCCAGATATGCTTTATTATAACCAACTATTTCAAGAAAAAAAAAAAAAAAAGCTAAGAAATAACAAGGCTAGAAAACTTTTCTAGAAAAACTGCTCATCCAATTAAATTAATTACAAAGAAGTTCAAATTTGAATTTGTACAAGACGTTTTAATAACTGGCATAGACAAGGCTATGCAATAGAAAACAAAAGCTTAGAAGTAACTTTTCTGCACATAACAAGAATTAGAAGGAAAAGCCATGAATTTATGCCCACCTCCTTAAAAAGCGAACAATGAAAAACTAAAAACTCACACAACACAATTCCAAAGAAAAGAAAGTACACATCAAAACTAAAGATCATTTTTATGCTTTTAAAAAGCCTCTCATTACATGATGCAATTTGAACGGTTTAATTTCAATGCTCAATTTAGTCAATAGTTTACAACAGTTGAAAAAGAGAAACATTAGCATGAAGACCAAGACAGAAAATAATTATCTACAGTTTTCCTCAAGTCAGTGGCTTGAGATCAGCTGAAACGGATAAGTAAAAAAAGAAGCAACAATTTCTGAGTCAGAAGCATTAGTAGGGAGAGATTCACAGCATCTGTTGGATGCCTTACTAAGCTAGTTAACCTCTCAGAACACCATGTGACTCAGACGTCTGTGCACATTCCATATATAGCACCAACTGTTCAATTACTGACCTCAACAAAAATGTTTACTTCAGAGAATCTTGCCACAAAAGTGATGTACAGCAAGTTTGTGGTTGTGTAAAAAAAATAATAGAAGTCCTCAGAACGTTCATATATAGGAACTAATAAAAAGCATATGGCCACAAGTGACTATTATATCACCTCAGTTAGCATATAAGCTACTTTCATACACTTTCTGTGAGTCTGTGCAGAGATGCTCAGTCTTGATACGGCATTATCAGAAAAGAGAAAAGCCACTTCTACCATTACTAGTCAGCTCCAATGGTTATCCTTTACTTAACCTCACTTAGGCACAAAGTACTATGATACTGTAGTTAAGAAGGTACAAGAAAGCTGTTAAGGTAGCCTGCAGCTATCCGTAACTGACTGTTTTTCATTCAATACGATAGCATCTAGCTCTGAGCAGAAAAGAGATACTCACCTGTTTTCAAGAGAAACAAAAACAAACAAACAAACAAAAAAACAACAACAAAGAATGGCCACAAGTTTGTATTACTATTGAACACTACAAAGTGTATTTCAAGATAAAGTCATTAGTCCATACATATGTATACTGTTGTGATGGTTTTTACTGGGATAGAGTTAATTTTCTTCATACTGACTCATATCATGCTGTGTTTTAGATTTTTTAATGAAAATAGTGGTGGAAACATTGATGCTTTAAGTTGTTGCAGAACAGTGCTAAATTAAGACAAGGAATGTTCCATTCTAGTAGTTTTCGGTTGAGCAAGAAGCTGGGAGGGGACAAAATACCCAATCCAAGATATCCGAAGGCATATCCCATCTGAGATATACAATAGATTGTCATGCTGAATAATAACACTGAGGGTAAGTGGAAAGAAAGAGGGAGAAGTTCAGAGTAGTGGTATGTACCTTCCCAAAAGAAAACATTACATGTGATGAGACTTGCTTTCCTGAAAGTGGCTGAACATCTGCCTGTGAATGGAAATTATTCAGTGAATTCCTTTGTTTTGCTTTTCTCGCACACGTCTTTTGCTTTACCTAATAAATTGCCCATCAGTTCTTTCACTTTTACCTTTCCATTTCTTATCTCCATCCCATCAAGGGAAAGAGAATGAGCAGCTGTGTGGGGCTGAGTTGCCTGCTCACAAATATAAAGCTTCTGCATGCACTAAAGAAGACATAAAAGGTACTGAGAAATGAAACAGGAGAGCAAAAAAAGAATTAAGGACAGTATTCAGTACATAGCATGAAATTAAAGAGAAGATGAACCATTTGTATACAGACTTATCAACTTACTTTAACATCTTTAAGGTTGTCCCAAAAAAAGGTTTCTCCATAAGGTGATATGACAGGTGGCTTTTCTTCCGAGAAAGTTTCTTAAAGCAAAAAAATATAGCATCATACACTGCCATGTTCAAGAAGATACTGATAAAAAAAATCACAAAAGATACAGGTTTTTCTACTTCTGATTTTTCTTTTCTCCTCAGGAAAAAAAAGAAAAATCAAAGTAAAAATTGAAAAACAAGAATTTCCCCATTTCAAACTGAACTCTAGTTAATTTTTTTCAGATAATACCCTTTATTATTTTCACTCAATTTACTGCATCTTCTTCCTAGCGTATAATTTAGATAGAGCTTGCATACAGGCTATCAAATTAAAAAAAAAAAAACAAACAAAATACTTTTGTTGTACTCTCTCAGGAGCAGTAATTGCAAACTTGATTCCAACTTTAAAAAACAAAATCCATAAAACTAAACAAATAAAACTATTTCATTTTTACTCAGTTTTCATTCCATCACCAACCATCTGCTTGAAACTGATACGCATAATTTCAAACAAGACATACTTCTGGAGTCTAAAAACTGTTTTTTTTTGGTTTTGGTTTGGTTTTTTTCACGTGCAACTCACACTGTTAACTTCTTCCAGTAAACTATTTAACACAATTAATTTCCTGTTATTTCCAGGAGTACCATTCTCACTAACATTAGTCAGAAGTACTCTGCTTAAAGCTTTCGAGAAAAAGCTGATTCTGCTTTTAACAATCTGCATCCCATCTTAGAAACTCAATGTATCATAATCAAAAAAAGTCATGTTAAAATAACTAAAGTTCAAAATCTGGATTTTCAAATTTTTATTTTTTTAATTAATTATTTAAAAAAATTATTTATTTTTTCAGAAATAAAAACTAAGTGAAAAAGGAGAAGTGGTTACATGCTCTGCTATTTTATGCATCACTTTTTTTAGGCGTTCCAGAAGCCTGGTATTTCTTTAAATGAGCAAGTCAATTTTAGATTTCAGCTTCTGATTTAAGGTTTCCTTTCTCTGGAGATTCAAGATAGAAGTACCAGCATGCTTGACTCACTTTTTTGTGAAACTTGCCTCCCAGCACAAGATATGTCTGTAACGTCCATGTTTCTTCTTTTCTGAAGGGAACTTGAACAAAATATAGTACAAAACAAAAACATTAAGTGAAACATCCCAGAAATTGAACAAAAGCATATTATGCGATTAAACAAGTCATTAAGAATACATACAAACATAAAAATAGCCAATTCTAAGTTTTGGGAAAGTCTCCTGATTGAATTTAAATACTACCCAACCACTTGCTTTCCTCCCTTTATGACACAATACTTCACTGATCTGAGTAGGTATCTTCAGAATATTTTTATTTTTTAATTGGTCTTAATATTTATTTAGACTTTAAGGAAGTGCGAGGAACTACTTTCTCCTTCTACTTCATATACAGTGAATGCATTCAAAACTACACTTCCAAAGACAGTCTTCAAATGTGAAGCATATAGTGAGTCTAGGTATGAAAATCCAGATCCAATGGAAAGAAATAATGCTGAAAATGTTTAATTCTCAGTGAGGACTTTTTCCCAGTAAATTTTCAATCTGTAACATAACTGAAATTGCTTTGCACGTGCATGCAACTGCCATGATGCATTTTATAGATAGACAAGGACATGTATATACATACACACACGAAAAAATCATTTTATTATTGGTGTTGTGCTGGTCCCTATGCATTTTGGAAACTTCTTGTACAGTGGCATATGCCAGTTAAGATCACATTTTTGTCTTTACTACTGATATTTCAGGCAACTTTGGAATAACTGAACAGTAAAAAACATGCCTGAAGTAATACATTTCTGACCTATCTTCAGTGCTGCAGCAGCCCGCTCTGATATCACCCTTGTTAACATGAATAACTAGCAATCTCTCTATTTTATTTTCTCTGCTTGAAATAACAGTGATATTGACCCTTGTGCATCCTTACAGAATACCCACTGATTGATAAATGATACATAAGATTGTATGTAAGATTGCTGCAGTTTCTATTAAGAGTTTGGGGGTCTTCTGCCCTTCAAATCCAAAGATAAGTATGTTTTAATAAAAATATCAATATATCTGATTTTCATTTCCCCACTAGACATATTGAGAAATGTTCTTTTATGACTAGCTATACTTCAGATTTTAGAAATACTGACTCATAAAGTCCACGTTGAATTGTTTCATAATATAGGCTGGCGTTTCTCTATGACAGAAGGAATACATTCACGTATTTCCATACTGCATTCTTTCCAATCCGTGCCTAAATCTGCCCTCATAAAACAGATAGTGTATTAAATTCAACATAGAAGCAGTACTTTATAAAGTTATTTGTTATTTCATGTTATCCTTGTTATACCACTTATGCTTCCAGATGATGTTGCGTAAAATTCTTGCTTTAGAAAACATAGAATGGGTTTGGCCCAGTTAAAGTAGATTACAACCTAACTCATGCTAAATAACTACTTATTCTATAAATTATAATTAGGAAGAGAGAAAAAAAAAAAAAAAGAAAAATACACAATACCTCGCATCTATTCAAGTAGTTCACTAAATCTGATGCAGCTACATCTTTTTTGAAATTACACAGCAATCATGTATTTGATGCATTTGAACTTACCTGATATGTTTACAAGAGAACCAAAACTAGTATTTTTCAACATAAACAGCATTTGTTTGTTGTTAAGTTTTTTATTTTTTTAACGTTTTTAATAGTATTAACTAGCATTAACATGAATTCAAGAGAAACAGTAAACAGGTTTGACTTGAAGGGCTTTTAGAATGATCAGTTTCTTCTTTATGTAAAGCAGTCAAGTCAATGGCTTAGTTTCAGAGTGGAAGGATTTAGAAGTTGGTAATTGTAATAGTAATGAGTAAAAAGTAACACAGATAAACTCACCAGAAAAAAAGAAATAAATCAACTTATAAAGACCTGCATTTTTTTTTTAATTTCTACATACTTTCATGTATGAATCCATACATGGCAAGAAAATCTGCTAGAAAGCAAATTGTAGCATTTTTACATGCAATGTAAAGTAAATTTGGGGGGAATTTTTGGAAAATGATATTCTACCTTATGTCAAATAAAAACCATCTCCAGAAATAAATGAAACAGCTTAGTTTGACTATTTGAAGGATTACATTTAAAAAAAAACAACAAACCAACACCATACAGTGCAGGATATAAAATTAGAATTTATCAATGCTCAGTTACTGTACAAAATTAACTCCTGAACTGAATGACAAAAAAATATAAAAGACTTACTGGGGGCAAATAAGATGTTCCCCTTTCCCCTCACCCCTAAACAATTCATTCACATCAAAATCACTGGTGTCTATCTAAATATGTCTCGTTTCTTAACCATTTCCAAAATTGCAAATGGTCTAATGCTTTTCAAATCAAAAAGTTCCAATAATACAAACATAAAATAACAATTTCCATCACATTTCCTTTTTTTTTTTTTTTTTTGGTAACTTTAAAAATTAAGGCCCATTATTTTCAAGAGACACAGGATGTGGCTCAAGCTGCATACTCCTCCCCGCCTCTCTTTCCTCGTGCACAAACAGGATGAAATGGCGTGATGAGGCAGCAACTTGATAAACAATGAGAGAGACTGGAAAAGTGAGAGCTTAGTGCTGGGCAGAGCAGAGCAGTTCTATTCTCTCTCCACCTGCCATCTCACCAGTGATGCAAGGGAGAGAGCTCATCGCAAGCAGCCAGTGCTTCAGAGCCCTTACTGGCATGAATCTGTTGTGTTTTAAGTGAATGAAACTTTTGTTTTCTGACTCATTCAAAACAGGTTTGCTAGTCAGCTCCAATTCTAGTCCTCCCACAAAACAAACATATCCAAAGTACTCCGGAGCTCTGGGATTCATAGGCTGCTTGTATAAGCAAATTAATGGAGGTGCTTGGCTGTAGGAAGAGCGAGATCCATTTCTACTACCTAAAAACTGTCCTGTGTGGAAGAATATGGAGCAGAAAGAGAGAGAACCAGGCTGGGAACTTCATTAGCAATTCTAATTCCTTTAATGTTAGAAATAGTTTGTAGAATGCCAGTCCTGCTACGTGTCTACCATGGAAGTTGCTGTCAATGGACAGCTTGGTTTAAGGCCAAGCACCTTTGTTCACTGCCAGTGCAGCAACTTTTCTGTAGTTACTTTTGGTTTATTTCTTCTTTTTTTTAATGAGGAATCTACACAGTTCCATCACTGAGCAATACAAGTCACTAAGTTGGAGGATGTCTAGAAATCCACACATAGATGGAGTATGTCGGTCTCCAACATAACCTGTGTGGCACTCAGTGTCACAACCAGTTCTACCATGTTATAAATCTGCTTTCAGGTCTTCCATTAACAGCACTGCAGCTCCAACGAACGCAACTGCAGCTATCTCATTCATCAGTGCCTGCTAAAGGACACTGTCCTAGGCATGCAGAACCTATCTATCTCTGTACGTACTATCTTTAATCATGGCTGCAGGCATGTATGTGGTTAGCTCCATCCATTGCACTACCTTCACTATGTCTTACAGACACCAGATTTTAACTCGCATGGCAGAAATTGCCAAAGGAATCAAGAGACCCAGAACTTTCAGCCCACTCTGTCCGATCCCACAGCATTAGTGGGAATGCATGTTAACAAATTCAAACTAGTGACTTAAATACAAAATGCAGAGGCTCAGAGTTTTATTGCACTTTTGTAACTATCTTGAGTTCCACTTCCAAAATGTCATGGTGACTTACCAGTTGACATGTTTTTTTACAGGCAAGAGCCAGAAGCAAAAGCATAGCACAGGAGAGCAGCTAAGATTGCAGGAGAGGCAGGTACATTATTAGTAATAAAAAGTTATACAGTCACAGCACTACTAAGTGCTGCAAGGAGACCTACTGTACCAACTTGGTGTGCCAGAAGGCACACAAGAGATCATGAGAAAAGCATTTCCTTGCATAAAAATTTAATGACTAATATCCATGCATGACCAGAAGACGATGCTAGGTTTCCCAGTAGATTTCAGCTGGAATTCTCTGCCTGTATGGGAAAAGCCTTCACACAGTGTAATTATAAGAAAACCAGCATCCATCAACAGAAGTCAGTTGAGAATACTTCTTTATGCAATCCTATAAGACAGATACGATCTTTCCTGAGGTTAAAGATGCTGCAAGCTACTACTTGAAAGTTCTTTACTAATTTCTTGCCTCTAAAAAACCAAAAAAGAAAAAAAAAAAAAAAAAAGGAAAAAGTACCCAACAGAATTAATCAAGAATATTTTTTAAGTTCTGTTTTGAAATTCTGGTTTACCCTTGATCTTCCTCAGACAAACTTGCTAATTGTCCTTCAGCATTTTTACATTGTTATAAATGAGCATAAAGACAAAGAACATAAACTCAAGTTCACAAATCAGGATGGTGGGTAATGAAGTTGGTGACCCATCCAAACATCAGTCACTAAGAGATCAGAATTTGGAGGATTTACTTTGATGGCAGGAATACTATAAACACAGTATATTCTTTTTACTGGCTGATTCTTTCTCAGAAGACATAAGAATATTCTTTCAAAAGCTACTTATTATTGTCTTTTTCTGCACTCGGTTCCCATTTCAGCTCAGCCAGAATAGCTTTGCTCCATAAAAGCTAACATAAAGGCACTCCCCATTGAAAAATGTTTATACTTCCATTTCAGTAAACACAACTTGATGTTTCAGAAGGCAGAGATAAAAAAAAATATTGAGGAACACAAAGATCTCTTACTTGTTGCAAAAAATCTTTGCCTCCCCACCTGTTCAAACAATTGTACTCCACTATTTAGCATTAACATCTTTCAACAATCTGAAAGAAACTTATAAATGCTTGGGAAAACTCTGCACTTAAGGCATGTGTAAACTTGTTAATGATGTTTCGAACTGCTAAGATATGCTGATGAAAAAGACAAGATAAATACAAAACATTCTCAGACATGTCCCTTCCAGGCATAGTTAGTGGCTTGGGAAAAAAAAAAAAAGTGGCTAAAAAAGTGCAACCTCATGATTTGGATATGTCTACAGTAACAAAATTTTGCATATGTTTTTGCATGAATTTTTCTTCTCTCTAAGATGCTGTGGGAAGGTACTCTGTGAATACAGCTCATAATATCATGGTCAACTGCTCATTCATTGTCTCCTATTTTTAATATTCATAGTTATTATGAGAGACTTATTAACAGAGTTAACTTCTAATGTCAGATCTTTACTTTTACATTTCACCACCTCTTTGCAAAAGAAGCAACAAAAGTTTATTCAAGACAGTAAATGCCACTGAGTAGCATTCTAAAGGAATAAAAATGTACACACACATCACGGGAATATTTTGAAACCAGAAAGTGGAATGTTTTCCTTTCCCCACCCCTCCCCTACTTCTTCCTACTGGAATTCCTGAAATAAATAAATAAAAATTATACTGCAAGCATCATTAAGAGCCAAGCTTTGTTGGTATGCGAATACCAGCAGAAGCCAACAACTAACATCACAAACCTGTTGTATTCATACTCTGAATTAACAGTTAAATGATGAGGAGTTTAGAAATCAGTCTAAGAGACTTATGAAGGGTTTGCTTTAGATACACAGTATAAAACAATTTATTCCACTGTTAAGTATTTTATTCTATTTTAGAACAACATAAAATCTAGTGCAGTTTTGTGCTTTAAGGCTAAGATTTAAAATCATCTTCCCGTGTTCACACGTGCAATCCACCGAATAACTACTGCTTCACACAGATACATTCTTTCCGGATGGCTACACCATACAATGCATGAAATAGACAAGGTGGCTCTCCTAAATTTTGCCTCATTTTTCAGATAGAAGCACATTAATACATGTAGTTGTGTAAAAATTCCTATATATTTTTAAATAATGTAACCCATTTTCTTATAAGCTTTTATTTTCAAAGGACAATGTTTTCCTGAAGATGTACTTTGAATAGGTTCTAAAAAGTAACAAGATTATCTGTGTTTCACAATTTTAAGTGCTGTTTCCCTAATAGAAACAGATCTTTCTAGGATGATTGATTGTCTTCATGAATTTACTATTTTGTGACCATTTTCTCCGCTATGAATCAGGATTTCATTTGATACTGGGGCTAGTGTCTAATTAATTGTAACATTTTGGTTCAGAATACATTCAACAGCTTTCGTTTTTTTCAGTATAATTTTTGTAACATTTGCATATTTTCATTCTTTCTCATCTATATCTTGGATATAGAAATGCTATACTTATATAGCAGGCCGTATTTATCTAAGAGAATATAGATGGCTAAGAGCATATAGGTTTAGTCTACCAAATGCCTGATATAGTTGTTCTTAACCTGGGTTATTTCTAAAGCAATAGGATTCATTTCTTTGGAAATAAGTAGAGGCACAGATGATCACAGAGATTATAATGTGCATAATTCTAAAGTTTCCCATATATTCCCTTCTGCACTTTTAACTTGCATTGAAGCTTAATCCTTCTTTGGATAATATGGCATTATTCATTCCAGACCCACTATATTTACAGCACACACACACACACAAAAAAAAAAAATCCACAAAAAGGCACCTCACGCCTACTCTTCCTCTCAAAACCATCCCATGAGTTTTCTGAGGATAACAATTCATCATTAAAAAGAAACAGCAGTTACCTCAATGAAGTTTCAACTTTGCTTGATTCAGGGATTTCTGGTACTGGTCGATGCCTTAATATAAAAGATCGGCTTGTTCTTGGAAATACTTTCACACTGTTCTGTGTACAAGAATCATATAAGTCATTGTCTATCATTTCTCCTTTAAACTTCACAAACGGTGAATGTGTCTCACTATCAGATAGATCCTCCTCAACAGCAAACATCTGATGTTTGTTTTCCTTGTATTTTGTTTCATACGAATGAGTGAGTGAAAGAGGATCACAAAATGCTACACAGTCAGCCAAGTGCTCATCAGTCTGGTATGCAGCAGCTTTTTCCAGCAATGTATTTGACTCGGTATTCATCTTCATACTTCCACTTGCAGCTTTTAGTACACTGTCTGAATTCTGGTATAAACTAGAAAAATCTGAGTTTGGAAAGTTTTCATCATTCACTCCAGCTCTGAATCTTTCTTTACCAGTGTAAGCTTTGTTAGGAAGTTGTACCAATGATATTGCAGGTATCAAGCCAGATTCATTTACTTCTAAATGGCTTATTGGGGAATCCTTGTCTGAAAATAAATATTGTTTCCTTTCTAAACCTTTCAGCTCTTTGCGTTTTAAACTGTCACAGGAAAGAGAATTTCCTTGCATTTTTGAAAGAGCAGTGTCTAACTGCTTAAGTATCCTTCTGCGATGGCCTGTAGGCAATACTCCCATTTGCTGAAGTATACTGTTATTTATTCCCATACAGTCTGTCACAATGTTATAGCCATGTTCTTTAAAGTTAGGAAGATATTGTCCCAAGTTAATGTTGACCAAAAATTCTTCAATATCAGTGCCACTGCCTGTGGATGACATGATGGCAGTTTCATTCCGAATATTGCCCCTCACGGTCATGTAGAAAAAGTCAGGATAAATGCATAATTAATAGCAACAGAGCTCTCTTAAATTTGTCATCAGTCAGCCAACAGAAAACACCAGTTTCTCTGAGACACTTCTTCAAAGCACTTCAGTTTTTTTTTTAAAGACTGCAAACCTACACAAAAGAAAAACAAAATTAGAAGCAAACAAAAGAGACATATCACTGTATTAAAAGGCTTGAATTCACATTAATCTTGGATAAAATTCTGAAAGGCTCTTTGTCACTGGTACAGTAATTTTTTAAAGTTTCTTATCTATGCAAATTTCAAGCAGGTTAAATAACATGACCTCTCCATCCTTTTACAATTGACTGCATAAAGAAAATCAAAGTCTTAACACAAGTAATAATTTTAAAACATAATCCTAGTGGTTTCAAGATATGAACAACTTATCTTCAGACACACACTTCTACAGAACTTGGATATAAAGGGTAGAAAAAGTGGACCAGGAACAGAGCTGGAACCCAGAGCTTTCTCACTGCCTCGTTAGCACCAGCTAACAACAGAGGGACTGCCACTACTTTATCTTCTGAGCCTTACATACTCCTTAATGTAGAAATACATTTTCAACAGGAAAAGGGAAAAATCACTGACTACTGCATTTTTAGTGAACTGTGGGTTCAAGCTGTTTTCAAATGAGAATCCCACTGGAAAAGTATCGACCAATACAGGAGTTTGCAGAGAGAGAGTCACTTCTGAGAATTTATGAGGGAAAAAATTTGCTTAAATTATTTAAAGAACCATAGCCAGAAAACTGTGGAGGCAATCAAAATACACCTCGTGGATCAGGCTCTTCAGAAAACTGCCATGAGGGAGGACAAGAACCAGGTAACTACTAGCTGTTCAGCTTTGGTAAGGAAGCAAATTGCTCAGTCACAAACTGGCAGACACACAGCCAGAAGCAAGTTCTGGCCTTCGTGCAAGGGACCTTCAGTACCTCAAGTGTCCATTACAGTGTCCTCATTATTTTCCAACTCAGTTTTCGCACTCCCCAGAGCTCACTCACACCAGCTCTCCATCCTTTCATGGCCATTTCCAAATTCATGATTTACACAACTCAAAGCAGACAGAGAAGCTACCACTCTGAAGGTGTCTGAAACACCCTGAAATCACATGTTCAAGGGCCAGTTTAAGGGCAACAGCGGTCAACCTGGTTGTTTTTTTTTCTCCTGTCTTTTCCTGTATACAAAGTAACTTGGCCTTGGGGAAAGCTGCTTACAGTAGCAACTATCCTGGCACACAGGTACTAGCCTTAAGCAACCCAGAGAAGAAAAAGCAGCTTCAGTAGCGTAGCTTAAGACTTAAACACCGAGCTGAAAGAGAAGATATTACATATATATTTCTCTAATGCCTTTTGAATAACTAAATCATTATTCAGACTTTCAAAAAAGACATAAAAAACAGGGGAAAACAATCTTCACACTTATACCATGTATGTATGCATGTGTGGCACAATAAGAGAAAAAAGAGAAGTTGAACAAACCTACATTGTTTTCTGAAATATATATATATATATATAAATGTGGATTACATATATTTATATATATACACACACACACATATACAGATATATATATATATATATATATATCAACACAGCACTATTTTTACATAAATTTCATTATTTATAACAACTCTCTACATTCTTGCCAATATATTCAGCTGTACTGGGCTATATCTTTATCAGCTTTGATCTCTATTCACAAAAGTTCCAAACAGTGATATACTTTCTTCAATAAGAAAGGCACACAACTAAAACTTCTTTGGAGAGCGAACTCTACAGGCCAGTCCAATATCAACATCTCATAAGACAAGAAGTTTTTTAGGGAGAAAGCTCTCACTGTATGATTCCTAAGTCAATTCAATTCAATCAAGCTTGGATTGAGCTATCTTCATCCTTCCTTTAAAGACTTCAGGCATCAGTATTTCCTCAAGCTTTTCATAGAAGTCCTTCACAAAACATAAAATTCAACACTACTGCCCGTAACCCCTCTAAACCCCTGAAAAATACATATATAAAGACATATTCTTTACATTCTGTCAAGAAGTTGAATCTATATTCTTAGCATGGAGTAACTACTACAGAAATGACTAATGCAAGCAAAAAAGTCAGGCAGGAACTGTTTGTGTCTCAGTGCTTCATGTACTCATTAAGAAAAAAAAAATAGTACATGTACTCAAGTATACATATGAAAAAAAAACAAAACACTCCAGTGTTAGCATTTCAATCTAAGTATTTCAAAATTGATGTTGAAATTGGTTATCTCAGCAGTTTCCATCTTTCTTGGTTTTGTGATGTGTTTAGGGTCTTTATCCCTGAGGTGTTAGCATTGATTTTCACTCAGTATCATTCTTTCAATCTTTCCACCTTCAGCAATGACAAAAAGTCACTTAGGTAAGCAGCTTTTATTTACTTACACTTTTCTGTGTCTAAGTACTTTGTTTTCTACATGCAATAGCTCTGCCCACACCTTATGCTGGAACACCTCCAGCTCTGTTACTTCAGCAACTCAAACAATTTCATATTATCAGTTACTTGGATCCATCTCTCTACAAACCAGAACACAATGGATTATCTACTGTAGAACAAACTCTACTTCCAAATTTGCAGAACATCATTTCTTTTTGCTGCACATTTTGCAACATAATGCACAGCAGACTGAGAAAGGAAGAAGTTGCTTGCTGCAGAGATATTCTTGACCACAAAATGCCAACAATGCTACGAGCTGAAGCCAAGGCCATTCTTTCTTTCAGCAGTCATCTCCAGCTGAAGCCCTTTTAAAGAAATTGTACAAAACTGGCCTACCTATACAGCTCATTAGGTAGCAAGTTCACTGCCATGTGTTAGTGCACCGGGGGGGAGGGTTATGTTTATTTTGGTATAACTGCTCTCAGATGACGCTTTAAGTAACTAACAAATCTACAAACAGGTGAGTGTTTATATCACAGGCCAGAGGATAAATAGTAAAATCATTTCTCACGTTGCAATGTTTTAGCCTCAAAAAGCATACAGAAAAATGGAACTCAAGGAACACCTCATCCAAAATAGTACACTGTTTCCAAGTAATGAGTATCAGTGAAAAAGAATGCATTCTCCTCCATAACTTGAACTGCAGAATAAGGCATAACAAACTTTAAAAAAGGTTGCACAACATTGTATATGAAGATGTAGCAATATATACACATTTATATACTTACTTTCACATCAATATCTGTATCATGAGGGAAATTTAAGTAGACAGTAGTATCTAAGTTTAGTTTATAGGCTGCATCCATACTTTCACTCTCAGAAGCAGTGTAGAATAGATTGTCCCACTGTCTTTGGCAAAAATAAGTATCAAAAACAAACAAACAAAAAAAACAACAGGGAAGATGGAGAGGAGGATCTGGTCTTGCCTAAATAAAATTGGTTCATAATACACTCTCATATCCTCCAGTGTAGAGTAACCTAGATAAAAACCATTTGATGAATTTATACAAACAGGGAGACTGCTAGAGTGGGAATACAAAATAAAGCTGCTTGGAAGATACTCAACTAATCAGTTTTACAAAAATAAGTAAACAGTGTGCAGATAGCTATGGAGGAAAAAAAAAAAAAAAAAAAAAAAAAAAAAAGTGATACAAGGAGATCCATCTGGTCTTCTCTTCCAAGCAAATATACTCTTGGCATGTGACTAATTGCAATTTGTTTTGTACATCCTAAGTCTTAGAGGGGATTATTCAACTTTATTGCAGAGATGATGTTTCTCACACCCTCTTCAAAATGATTTTAAGATCCTTCTTCTCTCACTCTTTTGGAAGGAGCTGCAAAATGAGGCAGAAGAACTCAGAGTGGCAGAGCAGCTATTTTTTTTCCCCAAAAGAAATCAATAACTGCACTGCCCCAAAGAATACAGGACAATACTGGTACAGAAAAGCAATGCATCACTTTCAGGACTCTTCTTCACATGGAGGATATGTTCCTGCATCTAATAGTCTCAAAACCTGTACCAACTGATACAGCCATCACTCCGTGAATTTCGAATTGGAAAAACTTTCAGTATGACACTGACTGGAAAATGTGCCATGACAAATGAACCTAAGCTGAAGCAAGCAAGCAAACCAGCTTTTAATTAAACGTGTGAACAAAAAGAAATAGCTGAATATAGAAATATTCTTTCTCATTAGTCCATACTCAAAAGAGACTTGCTTTTCTTTTAAGAATAGTACTAATATTAGCCTTAAGAAATTTTCAGAAGCACATGGCAAGCCAACCTCACTTTCAATGATAAGTTCAACAAACGCAAGCAAGTTCAGGCTTGCTCCCAACTTCTGCTCAGCCACATACTAGATAAGTTCCAAATGAAGAGGGGGAAAAAACAACTACCCTAGGACTTACCAAGGACAGACAAACCTGGCAGCGAATTTCATCTTCCCATTGTATATAACTATATACAAGTGGATAAGATTAGCGGGCTTGGAAGGTCGTAAATCATTACAGATCTTTCCAAAAACCAACACAATGCAATCAGCATGTTGTCTGAATGCTCAGAAAAATTCTCGTGAGTGACCATTCTAAAGGCATTAGACCTTTGGATCAATACATACCAATGAAACCCATGGCAGTCATGCAACCAGAAGTGATTTTTTCCCAAAAGCAATGAAGATATCAAGTGCAACTCAACACAGTGCTTGATTAGGAAATACTTTAAGTATATCCTCTGTCAAAATGTTTCCTTCTTGTTGTTTTTCTTGTTGTTGTTTAGTCTTTTTTTAATTGCAGAATAACTCTCTTTCAGAGAAAAGTTCAGCAATTTTGCTAATTCGGAGTCAAACCTTGCTCTGCAAGAAATTCCAGTGGGACAGCTTGCAGACAGCGTGAAGAAGCGTCTCCAGAGCGAGGAAGTGAATAAGCAGCTGAAGGTGGAACCGGCCGGGAGCACTGGGGCGAGTTGCTGCGGCAACACCCGGCGCTGTTGTTCACTCCGTGCCTTCCCTGTAACAGGGAGGGCATCCGAGCGCCCCTCCGGCTTTCTGCAAAGTGAGTTTCATTCACTTTTCGGGAGAATTCCCAGGAATACGTGGGCAGCTACAGAGAAGTTCGCGTCTAACTTCCCGAAAACTACTCGCAGAATAAATAAAGCACAGTTCCTCGGTATGCCATTTACAGACCGTTAACATAACCAAGATGAAAAGCAAAAAGGAAGCAAAGTGCTTCCTAGCTGCCTCCCAGTTCTCTCCTGCCAAAGCCCGACTTTCCGAGCGGTTCCCCGTCCTGCAGCACAGCGCTTCGCCCCGAGCTGCCCGCTTACACGCAGCGGTGCGGAGGGGGCGCCGAGGCCAGGACACCGGCAGCCGCACAGCGCCCGGCCCAGGAGCTCCGCGCTTGCAGCGCCCAGCCCGGCCCGGAGCAGCCCGCACAGCGAGCAGGCCACCCTCGCACCGGGTACCGCGCAGCCCTGGTCCCGAGAGTTCCGCGCCCGCGGAGACCGGTTTACCTCGGTGGCCAAGAACACAAGGGGAAAAAAGAGCTGCGTTTCAGGCCGCTTCACCTTTCTTTTCTCTCTCCGCTCGCTCCTTCCTTCCAACTGCCTTCACTCCGCACCCCACCCCCGCGCTGCTCCCGGGCAAGCCGCGCCCGAGGCACGGAGCTCGCCGCCGCCCGCCCTGCCCTCCCTCCGGAGGCGGCCGCACCTGGGCGCGGGTGGGGAGCGCCCCTCTGCGCGTGGGCCGTGGGGTGGGCTGCCCGTTTCTAAGGCCCAGCCAGCAGACACGGAGCTCCCGGCTGGCCCCGAGAGCGATGCAGCCTCGTTGCCTTAGCGCTGGTGGCATTGCCGGTGAGTGATAGCTTGATTAAAAACTAAAATAAAATTGTTAAGTTTTAACTACCACGTCTAATCCCCCCACTTGTAGCAACTCGCTCACATCTGTGAATTACTGCTGCGCTGTTGAAGCCAGCCTTATTACAAGTGAGACGAGGAAGTGCTTTCATGCCCTCAGTGGGCACAGTATCTTCCTCCTCATGTATCACCTCTGAGTGTTTGTAACCAAACCCCGGGGCGCACTGCCGGGCTCCCAGCAGCTGAGATCCGACGCCTGCATTCTAACTAAGGCAGAAAGGGAGGGAGGAGCTGCTGGGAAAAGACTGGTAATTAAAGCCGTCATTCAGGAGCAAGCAAACCTGGGTTCTTTTGGCTTCTTCAAAGACTGCTCAGTGCATGCTAAACACAGCCCTACCAAACCGCCTTACTTATAGCAAGGCTTAAGAAGTGTTGGTGCCTGCGGAGCACCAAGCTGTAAAATGAGTTCTGGGGATCACACATTGAATGTAAACAACTTCTTCACTCTGTGACACAATTAGAAGTTTTGAAGGTTGGCATTACAGAACCAATTCCATCAGTGCTCAGACACTTCTGAGATCCTGCTGCACCTCCTGGTTTTTAAATGCCTCAAAACCAAAGAATATACTCAGTTTTACCTCCTAAGCTTGCATTGTGCAAGCAATTTTTATGGCAAGTCCAACTTTGGTGCGAACTTTTCATTTTGGGTTCACTTATTTATTTATTTACTCTGAAGAAGTTTATCATTTTCTTGACTCAGTTTTCACTAATGTTTTGGCCAAGTCTGGCACAATGTCACTCCCAATAGTTTGCACATGATCCCCAATGTTTTCGAACATTACCTCACAGATGTGATTCAAGTAAGTAGACTAAAGCTCTTTTTGGACACGGCCTTTCTAGATTGTAATCTAATTACTCACAGATTCATCCAAACACAGATTTACGTAAGATTTCCAGCTAAGCCTATTCAGAACAGTAAGAATGTCAATAAATGCCAACTTAGAAAAGGGAATCTAACCACAGAAACACAGATTGGTGTTTAAAAAAGCTGTCAGACACTCACACGGAATCCACATAGAAGAGACTATATTCAGCATATTAATATTTGTTCTTTGGTAGCACCTTCCCTCAGAGCATAACATGGTGCTACTCTGACACATTGTGTCTTGCCAGAGCTAGTTATTTTTCTAGACCACAGTATAAAACAACGAAGTACAGGATTTTGTGAGGGTTTAAATGCCAGACCTTCTCAAATGCGTTTACATAGAACTGTAGAATCATAGAATCACAAGGTTGGAAATGACCTACAAGATCATCTAGCCCAACTGTCTACCCACTACCACAAGCAACTAAACCATATCTCGTAGCTCCTCATCCAGATGCCTCTTGAACACTGCCAGGGATGGTGACTTCATCATCTTCTTGGGCAAGCCATTCCAGTGCCTGACCACTCTCTGAGAGAAAAAGTTTTTCCTTATGTCTACTCTAAAACTCCTCTGGTACAACTTGTGGCCATTTCCTTGAGTCCATTTTGTTGCCTGAGAGTAGCCAAACCCCTCCTCATCACAACTCCCCTCAGGAAGTTGTAGAGTGCAATGAGGTCTCCCTTGAGCCTTCTCTTTTCCAGACTAAACAATCCCAGCTCCCTCATGTTTCTGTTTGCATTAGTTGAATATCCAGAAAAAATGTCCAGAAATTCAATTTAAGGCACCCCATGCTTTTCAGAGTTCAGGATTTTTTTGTCTTTTTCTGGAAGTGCCTAAATGACATCACTAGCATCAGGGAAACCTATAAGCTGTCTTACCCTTTGTTAGAAATAAAGTAGTAGAATACATCAGATTCTAAGAATGTTCTCAAGACTCTGGTTTATCTATGGCATATGGTTCTGCCTACTAGAGCATGAAATGGCAGCTTTCTACCAACGTGATAAAGCAGAACTTCATAAAAAACAACAGCAAAAACCCTAAAAAAACCTTAAACAACATCCTTACACAAATCCAAAAGAAAACTAATTCTTTTAATTCTGATGTAATTCAGATATGACACAAAGCACAATTCTATTCTAAGGCTTGCTGATATTCTTGAGTATTTAAAAACCGTTAGCAGGCTTAAAAACTGCAGATTTTATTATCTGATAATTTATTCTTCCCTTGAAGTTCTGTGTTGCTATCACAACATATTGTTAGGTTGGTAATGTTTTTTAAGTAGGTGTAGATAAAATTTCAGTTTGGAAATTAATTATAAGTAATAGTTGAAAGATTTCTGCTATATCCTCTAAAAGATATTAGTGCCTTTTTTTATCCTAAAGTAGTTATGGCCATACAAGAAGGCGGCTCATAGCGAAAGCTGTAAGTTAGCCTGTCCACTCAGAATTTTGGTTACATAAACATTTAAAATAATCTTGTATTTTCAGATTATCACTTTATAAGCTAGTAAATGTTCTTCACCAGTATGACACAATGTCTGTTGTGACTTTTTCCGTTTATTTGCTTTAAAGACTTTATGTTTGACCTTAATGCAGTTTCTGTTTCCTAAAACTGCTGATGGGGCAGTCCCTTTTAACGTAATCTTTTTCTTCTGTTACTGATATGCTAATTTTGAAACTAATGACATAAAGCTGGTGCAGAAGGCTAATGTACTGCTTACTGATTACATTACAGCTCCTGATTTTTTTTTTTTTTAATTTCCCTCACCAATGTAGATTACTGTCTCATTACAGTGTATTTTCTGGCTTATGTATTGTCTATTATACTCGATTCTATGTGTAAAATCTTCCATAGGCAAGAAGTTATTCAGATTAACTGAAATACTCTTTCTGAGAATAAAAATACGTAAACGTCAGCAATTATATTCACTCTAAAAGCACCTTTTCTACTGTGGTGATGGATGAGTCAGAAAGACTGAATTATACTTTCCTCTCAATGGGAGTCTAATAAGATTATAATTCAAAAGACAGCCCTGCACCAATGTGAGATTTTGACAAGTTAAGGAAGGCCCCATCAGCTGCCTTTGGCCAAAGCACGCTGTATACTATCCTACATCCTGGCTCTTGAGCTGACTCCCAAACTTGCAGATGGAGCCCCAAGGGCTGCTGATCCTCTACTTTCACATGCACTGATGTGTGCTTCAGTCTGCTGGCAACCTGAGAATTTTGCCTGCAGTACTGCTTTATTTGAATTCATTGCTTATGGCAAAGTAAAAGCATCTCTTATATATAAAAATTCACCTGAGTTCACAAGCTTGAAGATGAAAACAACAGATTTATTCTAGCAAGGAAAGGAGATTAAGCTCTTGCTTCAAATGAAAGGCATATAAACAAAAACAAAAACAAAAAAAAAATCAAATTTATAAAATATCAGTCTCTCATTCTAGTTGTCACTTAGGGTTTCTCCAAGTTATCTCTCACTTGAAAAGCTACAGGGGCAGTTTCAACACTCTTTTCAGAGTGCCTGTGTTCAGCGTGGGACCTTATCCCGGCACTTCTCTCTTTCATTTATATTTAACGGTTTTCTAGTGGCTTTTGAATACTAACGCAGCTTCAAAGCATGCGGTAGGCTTTTTTTTTTTTTTTCCCTTTGCTATTGCTCTCATTTAGGGGACCTCGTTACCTTGACATAGCTTCCTGTCATCTTTGAGAAATCTAATGGAGCATTCTTAAACTTATTTGAAAAGTAATCCCTCTGAGGAACTTTCCATCACATCAAAGTGCTAACTTTTTCTCAAATTCACCTTTTGCGCTGTTCTCTGAATTGTAATGAATCACAGATCATTAAAGTTTTATCTACACAGTGTTGGCTTGCTCACATTCTACAGAAACCACATATGACACATTTAAAGATGCTATTAGTTTTAAAGGTCATTGTTTCAAATACCTCCCTCCCACTTTCATTCTGTGTGCTGCGTGAGAAAATTCGGCACGGAAAGTAATGACACAAAATAGACATCACAGAACTACTTTTAAAGAAAAACTTTCCAAAGTACAATCACTGTCAATATAATTTCACATTTTTCTCCAGGTCACTGCTTTCTCCACAAGGAATGAGCAAAACAAAACAAAACACAAAAACATTTCATGATGGTTAGCTCACTTTCAGGGTTCTGATGCTATGAAGAAGATGAAACTGAATGCTTACTGTATATGCAAATGTAATGTATATAGAAGAGCAATGAAAGTTTAACTCCATTACTGAGGACAACAGGGTAATGAGACTAAGACTTTGTCAGAAGAAAAAGAATAGAGACAAGTGAAAACAAAACACTTTCATCTCATGTTTCTACAGTTTCTTCCTTCCTAAAATTTAATTAAAATTGTAATTAAATAAGTGTCACTTCAATTCTGGATAGCAAAGCCTATCATTTTTCTTACATAATTAAACACCAACATTAAAACAACATCAATCATGTTTAATAACTACAAAATGTTATTGCTGATCACATAAAAAGGCATTTTTCTTTCAAGAATT